GGTTTGTAGGCCTGAGGGCCACGGCCTCAGTCTAGTGTTGTAACCTGGTTACTTTTCGTTTTGTTTATTCATAATTGTTACAGTTATAACTAGTATAATTAATGTTGATTGAAAGTCCTGCAGACAAGTCGCGAGGGGATGGCTCCCCGTTGGTTTTTCAAAGCGGCTTCATCCTCTGGTTGCTCTTGGTTTTCACGACAGCTTGCACCTAATATTTACACTTTACACTCCTTGTAAAGATGTGCTTACTTCCTTTAAGGAACTGCTTGTAGCTCTACCAGGTAACTTTGGAAAGTCTGGGCTTTCCCAAAAACATATTAAAAATTATTTTTTAGATTGATTAGAAATATATGTATAAAACTGCTACTTTAATTCTTTTAGTTATCTTTCCTTATAGTGGAATTATTTTTTACAGTGAAAGTCTGGTAATTTTCACTAATAGGCTTAAAGCTATGCCCTGGAGGCAGAGTAAAAATAATAAGTTTATTAAAGTTGGATTGAGAGAATAATCTGAGGCATCAAATGTACAGGTGAGCCAGTTAAAATAAGGTGCTGCTGAACAGTTACTATGATTATTAAATATTAATTAAACATTAATATTTTTAATATTTTATGTTTAATCTTCCACCTAATTAAAAAAAATAGGCCTAGTGAGAGGCTGGTTTTCAGGTATATCTTGAGATCTTTAAAGGCCTTAGAAGAGCAAGGGTCCAGCCAAAGAAATGAGAGCAGGGACAAGAGCTTGTAAATGAATAGTGCAGTTAAGAAAATCAGGGAATCTTAGGTATGAAATTCCCTTCTGTTAAGAACAAGAAAAACAATCTTATGGATGCTGTAAAAGTGCTGAAGCAGTCAGTGCAGCCTTTGTTCAGTTTTCCTGGAAAGGCTATAGTCAGATATTTGCTAAAACTAAATAAGATTATATGATTGGAATGCAATCAGAGTATTACTTCTTAAAAGAATAAAAAAGAGAAAAGCCAGATGATCTCTGATCTCCTGAATGATTCTGAGGAGTTGGTTTGGGAAGGGAATTTGTCAGTAAGTAGAGGACAATTAAAGTCAGTGTGCACACAGGAAATATTCTAGTGTGGCTTGTTGAAAGTGTCTGGAATAATTTTTTTTTTTTTTTATTGTAGCCAATGCACTTAATAAGGGGAGAATATGAGGAGTCTGCCTTGAATTTTACAGGATTTTTGCCATTGTTCAAGCTACTGAAGTGTGCTCTGAAATAATTGTTTTTAAATATTTTTTTAAGAGCTTTTGAATCTGACTTGTAAATGACTCACTTTTAAACAGTGGTGTCATGAAATGTGCTCCTGGAGAGTTCAGTTTTGAGGGCATTTTCACTGTTCCCTGGAGTGTGGAATACAAAGTAGAAAGGATTGCAAGCACTGTGCAAGGGTTGGAATTAAAGGCCACCTTGAGAACCTTGGTAGCAGGCTGGAAATCAGTGGAACTGAGGGAAGAAGAGAGCACAGGAATGAAAAAAATCAAAGCCTGATTAGTGGAAAAGTGTCAGTGAACAGCAAACAGTATCCCAGAAAACACTGGGTATTTATACTGCATTTGAGCACTGTAATGCACATAAAACCAATATTAATTGAGAATTATGTTCTGTCAACTACCCTGGTGTTGCTTTGTCACAGTAACAAGTGTGAGTAAATATAAAGACAAAGGAAGTGATTCCTCAGATGATAAAGGGCATTAGCTAAAATGGTCTTGTTATTTTTTTAAACAACAGTGATAGATATCTAGACTCTGCAAGAATATTAGGTTTATTAAACTTTATGAGGGGAGCTTGAAAGGCATAGACACTCTAGAGAAGAGGAAACTCAGAGCAAATCTGCTGAGTGCCTTCACATCAATAGAAAGGTTGCTGTGTAAAGACCAGTGATTGACAAGTCTTTGAGTTCCCTGTAGATCAAGAGATGCTTGTTTTTAGGTGATGATGTTGATTTGGATGCTAAAGGAAAATCTTTAGCTCTCAAGTTGATGAAACCTGAAGCTGGGTGTCCACAGATCTCCTGCTGGAGAAGTAAATATCTGGATATTTACTTCTCTCAGGTCTCTCAAGGGCCCTCACAGGTGTGTATTTAAACAGTTCTGTGCACACAGTGTGGTGGAATTGCAGGTTTTAATAGGGGAAAACTGCTTTGGAACCTGCAAGTTTCCTTGAGCCTGGATTTTTATGGAGCTTTAGTAGGAAAGGCCCATGGTGAATCCTTCAGTATCTACTCTTGGCTGTGTGGTGCTTACACAAGGTTTGCTTCCAGGTGTGCAGCTTTTCCAGGTGCCTCCTGCTGCTTTGGCTGGGGAAGGCAGACTGGCCAACCATTTAAATCCTTTTCACTCTCTTCATAAACAGAGCTTGCTGAAACATCTTCAATTGGCTGTTACAGGCTGGAATGAGAGCTCCTGTGGGAAAGATAAGGGATAAAGAGATCAAGAACGGGGGGGGGGAAAAAGCTGCTGCTTTGTCTTGACCAAAGGATGTGCAAACCACAGAGGGGAAAATGGCAAAATGAAAGTGTGGCCTTGAGCATGTCCTGAAGACATTCATATATTCATGCTGTTATTAAGGAAACAGCAGCCTGTTAATGATCTTTTGGAATAACTGAATTGAAATTCAGAGATGTTTCCAGCCAATGCTTCTAAAGGTGCAGTGTGTCTTTCCATTTTTCAGCACATGTCAAGGAGAAGGCCTTCTAAAAAAATTACTTATTTTTATGCATCTTAAAAAAGCAAATAAAAAATTTATTAGGTGACTTACATTCCTTTTAGAGCTAAGTATTGATGTCTCATTTAAAATGAGGTACTTTTACTTCTGCTAGTAAAATGTCCAGAAGTGTTACATGAGTGAGCTGGCCTGTTGCTATATCATTTTTCCTTAGTACTTCTATCAGCTTTCAGGTTTTAAAGTTCTGAGTATTGGGGAGCTACGTTCTCTCCAGAATGTTTTGTTCTTGAGCAGAACTTCCCTCATGAAAATCTGACTCATTTAGTTCAGCCATTGAAAATTTTCAGTCTTTCCCATCACTAGTACACAATATGTGGCTGATTTATTTGCTAGCAGTGGTTTGGAGTTCAAATTTTGGGGTTTGAGAATCTTTTCCTGTTAGATAAAAAGAAATAAGCTCAGATTAAAACTGTAGGGAACTGGAATGATGTTTCTTGCTGTGTATTTCAGACTCCCAAAATGTAATGCCTCCAACACTTGAGAACCAGTGCAATACAAGTGTTGCATTATTAAGTTATTTAGAACTTTGTTCTGTGTGCTGAACCTTATAAGAAAGCTCAACATCATTATCTTAAGGTGTTCTGCATACTTTGAATATTCCAGTAATTTTTTTCTAAAAGCATATATAATCAAGTTTGTGGCATAATCTGAGTGAGCAATGTAATTTCTGTGATTTACCTTGTTTTGATGTGATGTTTGCATAGTCCTTGTGTCTTAAGGGTGAAATTTGGAGTTTTTCATTCATTTTCTCTTTAAGTCAAAAGAGTGTCAAGTCTTGCTGGTGATAATATTGAAAAGATGTTTTCTATGATGTTTTGGAGATGTGATCACTTGAATTGCAAGTGAACAATTTAGCTTTACTTTGTGAGGTTGAAATTTCTATGTATATTTTTAGATGTTGGAAGAGCAGTGTTTTTGGTGTCTGTGTAAATCTGAGAATTCAAATGAATGAACTCAACCTCTCTTAGTTCAGTCACAGAAGTAAAAAAAAATTGCTCAGAGTTTGGATTAGAAGGTCAGTTGAGCTTTAAAATTCACAAGTCTGGGATAATGGTCTCCCCAATGCCTAATAAACATAGTTTGAATTTTGGTGCAGCATGGGGGTGGACTAGTTGATTTTTGAAGGTCCCTTCCACCACTCCAAACCATTTTGTGAAGAATGTTTGTTTTTCAAGTAGCTATGAACTAAATATTTGTACATTTTTCCATGGTTTTTTTTTAATTTACATGGCATTAGAATTAATATGTCTGTGAATATATATGTGATATCTGTAGGATTAGCTGTGTGGTGTCCAGCATCTTCTGAGAGGATGGTGTTTGAACAAGGATTTTGTCTGAAGCCTTTTGTGACAGTTGCTGTTGTCAGTATTTAGATTTTTCTACACATGCAATTATCTCTTCGGATTTTGTTTATGGTAGTTAGGACTGCAATCTTGTGTATGAGAAAGCAGGTAAAATGTCTGTGTCAAGCCTTATGTTTACAAAATTAAAAGAAAATACTCAGGGGCCCATGGGAAGTGTTTGGTGCACTAGGGAAGTCAGATGTCCTGTGGGACTTTTTACCTGCAGAGTCACTGGTGCACAGACAATGTTCTGTGCCTGGTGTAACGCTGTAATTTCAGATTTAATACTCACTAAATGAACACTGACAAATTTCTATAAAGGAAAATTTGTTGCATGCTGCTGCCCTGGAGAGATGATTTTACTGCTGGAGTGTAACATGGGGAAAGTCTTTTAGATCTGTTTGGCTAAAGTGTTGTCAATCTATGATGCATGAGCAGCTGCTTCTAAGGACCACAGGATGTGCACACTGGGGCTGCTCTGCTTTCTTTTCTTAGGCAAGATTCTGTAAAAGCTGCAGTAGGCAGTTTGCAGGTAGTGCAAAGGAAATCTGATAGTTGGTAAGCAGTGAACAAAGAAACTGCCAGTAGAGCTGGAGATAAGGGGGCACCAGTTCTGCAGATACATCTAATTAATTAATACCTTAGAAAACCTGGCTGCAGCACGTACACCACATTTATTGATGCATTTACAAACACTTGGTTTTCTTGGCTCTCCAAGGAACACTTAGAACCACATTTGGCATGAGAATGATACAAGTAAAGTGTGTCTTATGGATGTTGCAAGCATGTATTGAGTTCTTAAGGACACAAAATTTACACATATATGTAACCCCTTACATATATTGCACATATATATTCTATATATTTATACATATTACTTTATAGATATAAATGAAATGTTCAACAGACATGCAAAAATGTATGTGTGAATATGTATAAAGTCTGTAGGCTGTTATAAAAGTGTGAAGCCAAAGAATTAAACTGAACAAAATCCTTTAATTTGCCCATCAAGCTAAAAACATGTCAACTAACTCCCTTGTTTTCTCTCACTAGAAATGACCACCCCAAACAAGACCCCTCCTGGTGCTGATCCAAAGCAGTTGGAGAGGACTGGTACTGTTAGAGAAATAGGCTCACAAGCAGTTTGGTCTCTCTCGTCCTGTAAGCCAGGTAAATCACAACAATGATGTCAAAAGTTGAATGTACGTTTATGTTTTGGGAGGAAGACATCCACAGCAGTACAACTGCTGCAGTGTAGGCTGTAGTTACTACAAATAATGTTTGCCTTCCCTATATGTGATACAATATGAAAGTTCTAACTGTATCAGAAATCCTTCTGTGAGGAACTATCTGATATGAACTAAACAGAAGTCTTACATATTTTATATTAATTTTTCTTTTCATTTACATGGTGAACAAACTAAGCCATGTAAGCAGAATCACACCCAGCACAGTGAAATTGTTTCTGTGCTTTGGCATTTTGTCTGGATGTCTTCCATTTTTAACTAAGGATGACTGTGCAGCTGGGAGACCTAAATGTTCTGCCTGAACTTTGAAACTTTGTGTGGGATCAGACATTACAGGGTGGCCCTAAAACCCTGCAAATAAAATAAACATGTGGTCCTGAGAGGCAGTTTGTGATACCTGCTCAAAATACCTGAAAATCTGTATTCTTTCCCTTTGGGTGCTTGAGTTGCTATTTCAGAAATATCTGTTGGGAGTTGATCAGCTGTCTTGCTGCACCCTAGGGTTAGTGATCCCTTTGTGTCACAATATTGTGCTCAGGCTGACTGACTTTGGTCTGAAATCCTGGAATATTGGAGAAAAAAATGTCTTGTGGTTTTGTTGCTTAAACAGGGGAGTTTTTAATTGCAGATTAAACTTCAGCTGCTATATTGGAACAGTAGCTAGTGTGGACAATCAATAAAAGGATGTAATTAGTAAAAGGATAATGAGGGAATAGAAAATACAAAGCTGCAGTTGCTTCTTCAAAGGTGATGGCATTAACCTTTAGGAATACTGGTTTTGCCATCTATTGCCTGTTCTAGCTAGTACTTGAAAAAGCAAAAATATTTCAGGACATGACTTGAAAAGAAAATGTTACATTTGGCTAAAATATTATGGTGAATGGTCTCTGCTAATGATTTTGCTTTAGTTCAGCACTTAAGTTACAGAAGATGTGGAAAAGTCTAACTTTTAATTATTGCTTTGGCAACCACTATGAATTACTACTTAACCACTTGAAATTCCAGGACATATTGGCATGGATTTGCACCCCACAGACCTCAACAGTATTGAACCTCTACAGATTCCCCTGTTTCAGTTTTGTGTTGGAAAAGCATAGGTGCACCTTGGATGGATAGACAGATTTCCTAATATGTTGTAACCTGGGAGACATTTATTTGTAACAGTTGAAGAAGAGCTGCATTTGCATCACAGAAATGAGATGTTCAAGATTATCACATTTTCTTTTTCTTAGGGTTTGGAGTGGATCAGTTACGAGATGATAATCTAGAAACTTACTGGCAGTCAGATGGATCACAGCCTCATTTGGTGAACATCCAATTTAGGTATTGAAGTGTACTCCCTGTGGGTTAGGGTGCTTTGTTCTGCTCAGATAAAATAGGAATTCAGCAAGTGCAAGAACTCCTGGGTTCGTTCTGTTACCCAACTGGTAAGAAGTCAGATAGCATTTCTAAAAATGAGATTTTCAAATGTTATGATCACTAAATATCTAAATAAGCAATGAAAATGAATGTTTAATGGTATATCAGTTGTGACAGCATCACATTTACTCATGTAAGGTGACTTATGTCCTTATTTTGTGTCTGTGAGTGTTATTTGGAGGGTAGATGGCTCCTATGTAACCTAACAAATGAGTGTGAGAAACTTTTTTTTATTCCATCCTGTGTAGGATGCTTTCAGTATTTTTTATTTAACAAAACTTGAGAAGAGATGTTTGTCCCCCTTTTAAATTTACTTTTTAAAAAAGGCCTTGGTGTAATAAGAGAGCCCGTATTTGAAAAGCCTAACTTAAGCTTCATTACGTACAAGTGCTTATTTGGCATCTGTTTCTTGGTATACTGACACTCCTGAAGGCAGGCAAAGGAGAATGGTGAAAATCAACTGTGTGCATAATGTGATGTGGAAAATCACCTAGTTCTTCAACAGCAAGTTTCTTATGAATCACTAGGCACACATGTATTCATTTCCAGAACATTTAATTCCTTAGTTATAGCAAGCTAGCAACAAACTCATCCCAAATATTTTTCTTTATGATGCTTACATGGCTTGTGTTGCTTCTTGCAGAAGAAAAACAACAGTGAAGACCTTATGTATTTATGCAGACTACAAATCTGATGAAAGTTACACTCCAAGCAAGATCTCTGTCAGAGTAGGAAATAATTTTCATAATCTCCAGGAAATCCGGGTAGGTTGATGATGCTTTGCATTCTATCTTAAAACAATTCTCACTTGTTAGGACATCTGATGTAATAAAACAGTTTGTGGTGGTAAAATATGGCTTTGTGTTGAAGGGGGAAAATGGCTGAGTTTATTTTGATATTTGCTTTTAGTTTTTATCTTGTAAATTTAGATTGGTTTCTGTTATTTTTTATCTGATTCTTTTTACCAAACATCATTATAATTGAATATGTTCATAAATTTTTACTTTTGAGTATTGTTTCTATTATTTTACTTTTTAATGCTCGACGGTTATTGAGATGCAAAAATTTTGGATGGGATGAGGTTTTTAACAACATGAAGCAAAATCCAATTTTCTGTTCTTCAGATCGGCTTAAGATTTTGAATGAGACAGAGTTGTAGTGTTTTGTTAGTGTTTTATTTTTAAAAAGATCAAATCCAGTATTTTTTATGGTGATGCTTCTAGTCAGAACTGTGATAAGATTTGAATTGCTTGAAGTGCTTGGTTTGCCTACCTTTTGGTTAAGAGTAAAAGCAGATTTGAAATAATCCATGATCTTGGTAGATGTCTGCCTTGGAAACTAATTGGGGTACTTATGAGCAGGTATCTTTGCTCATTCTGGGTCAGGGTAGCCTCATGTTTCAAATTCCTCTTCTCTGGAGCTCAGCATTTACTGGCTGGTATTTTGGGAAGGTTTAACTTAGCAGCCCTATATGGCAAGTGTTGCAATAACAGAAGGGTTGGGATGATGAGAAAAGGGTGGTGCTAAATGGTGGCTTGAAGTTTTACTTCTGGGATTTTTATTTTTTTCACTTTGCATTGTTGGGACTGAAAACCAAAGTCCCAGAGGAAGTTGTAAGTACAAAGCTGTAGATGCTGTGGGAGTAAAAAATAGTGTAGTAGAGATCTGTTAGCATAATGTATCTGTCTATATCCTTTCAATGATTTGTGATGTTCTCTCAAGTTTTGACTTACACTTTCATCCTAAATATCAAATGGAAGGCTCTTGACATGTTTTATTTTTCTTTAATTAATTAAATATTCTTTTGGAAGAAATAAATCTTCACGTTTCTTTGACTTTGATGAGCTGTAAATTCTCTCCATCTCCCTAATTGTATCCCAGCAGTTTGGGAGCTGCACAGTATCTGAGGAAGGGCAGCTGGATCCTTTCACCTGTTAGGCTGTGGCTCAGTTTCCCGAGTATCCACTAGATGTCATTGTTGTCCTTAATGATCACTTTGATTTTTGCACTTTTATCTGCCCTTTCAATAACTAAATGATTATTGTCCTTTTTGTAGTCATGCTTAGTACAGCACTGTACATCTTGCTGCCTAACTTAAGTTTCTCATACAGTGGTAAACTCCTGCTCCTGAGGGTATGTGTGTGATGAATGTATTAAAGATCTGTAAAGCAATAAAATGTCTAACAAGTGTATTAGTTCTCTCCAGTGTCTCAGGCAGGATTTCTTTAGCTCTTTTCTTGCCAAACACGGGATTCTATGCATAATGTATGTAGTTAAAAATGGTGCTTCTATATGAACCGAGTTACTAGCATTTTTATGGTGTATGAATGTGACTATAACATGATGCATGACAGAGTAATTCTTATGCATGCCACATGCTCTTGTGCTTTTTTTATTTCCAGACTGAGGAAAAAATATGGTCACGCTTCTTATTAATGAGATACAATATTCTGATGCTGTAAAATGCTTGTGACTGTCATCACCATGATGTTACATGTTGCTATCAATTTTCATATTTTCTAAACTGCTTGATACTGTTTCTTGAATTTTACTTCAGTCTTGAAACTTTCTTCAGCTTCTCTGACACATAGGGAGGTTATTAAAGCAGTGTGAACTGTTATGAGCTCTTTAGAGAAATCTGCTTAATTATACAGTGATTCCATTGGCTTCAGTACTGATTAACTGGGTGGAAAATCAGGCTAAAGCATTTTATATTTTTCCATGGATGCTTGCCCAACTCATAGTGTGTAATGAATGTGTTTTCTTTCCTAATGGTCTAATTTTCAACACAATGCAATATGCTGTTGAGCTAAAGTTTGTCACAAATACAAGATCAGCTTTAGTTTGTATTCTAGTATATAGGCATATCTTGTTTGGAACCTAAAATGAATTTATTTTCAGAAAAAGAGGTTTCTTCCCCTCGTTTGTACCCCATTGTAAGAGTGAGAACAGCCCTTGCAATCTGGCAGGATTATTCCCTTGCTCACTGCAGTTAAGGTGTGTGCACCCAGCCTTCTCCTCTGGCATTGAAGTGCCATTGTATCACAGCTTCAAGCTTGGAGAGCAAATATTTCTCATTTGCAGTCATGGAGTTTTCCCACGTGATGGTACAAACAGTCTGGATGGACCAGATAGTCTGTAGAGGCATTTTTGGAACAGCATCCAGACTCCTCAGGACATAAGTTATTACATTTTTTCATGATATGAAAATAACTCACTGCAAAGGATATGAGTGAAATGCTGTCCGTGAGAGATCTCTGGTCTTGTCAAGTGCTGCTCACCTGTTTATTACATTTTACCTCCAGAACATTTAGATGTTCAGCAGTTCATTGGGCTGTAAGGAGATTAGGTGTTGTGATGCTAAGTGCAGTGGTATTTCAGGGTATAGTCTCAATCCATATATAATATATACACACACATGTTGTAGTTAATAGTGCTTTCTGCTGTCAGCCTATGAAGTCAGATCTTTACACAGACTCAGGTAAAGGCCCTTTAATCTTAATACACCTTTGTTGGCAACAGTATGAGGCCTTTGTTTTAGGTTTTTGTTGGAGTTGTTTGTTTGTTTGTTTGCTTTTCTTTGGACTGCTGTTTGCTTTGTTTTCAGTTTCTGTTCCATCCCTTTTGGCCCTGCCTGGTGTTGTGTAAGCAGGTGCAAGCACAGCAGCCTCCCTGGTGGCAGGGTTGTGCCTGAGCACCACGGACAGGGCTCCTTCTTCACTGTTTGAAGAGATTCTGCACTAGAGAGGGGATTACCAACTGAGGGATGCCCAAGCTAGGAGGCTTTTCCAAGGGATAGTTAAGGAGGTGACCCCAGTGCAATGCCTTTACTCCTCTGCTGTCCAGGGGCTGTAGGGAGGAGTTTGGACTTAGGCAGACATGTTCTGAAATGCAGCAGTGAGCAATCTTCACCTGTTTTCTGTGCATGGCGTAGACTGAGATCCTGAGGAGTGAGGACATCCTGGCTCATCATAGGGCTGCTGCAAGGTAATCAGCCAGAAAATGCACTGTGAGTCTTTATTCAAACATCTCTAAGGTGCATTTTAAACTGCTTTCCATTGAAGGTGGAACAACTGTAAAGGAGCTGTTACTCCTTTAGATTCCTGACTAAGCTTCAGGTACTTTGGTTAGAAACCGTTCCTCTGTGATCTATATTCCACTCACGAAAAGAGGCATTTCTGACCCTTAATTATTCCTTAGGTTCAGAATGTCAATTAAAAATAGTCAGTCTGCATCCTGCAAAGTACTCTTCATGCTAAGAAAAGACTGAATAAACTTCAATTTTATAGAATTTCAATCTTTCCTGTCTCTAGGATGTTCTGTAAGCACAATCATCACACCAGTTGTTAATTTTGATTATCTTGCTGTTAATGCTGGATGAGTATGGATTTGTTTCATCAGGATGCACACAGATGCACTCTTCTGTACATCTGAAGTTTACTGGTGGTGGAAATCTGCAAAGCAGGGGAGTAGAATGCTCCACTGGTATTGGTTACTGACTAAGCCTTGTCATGGGTAGGAATCAAATTTCAGAGAAAAGGTTATTTCCATTTGTACTCTGTGCAAATTTCCACCTCCCAGCAGAGGATATTTAGTGAATCCCCAGCTGAGATGTTCATATGAACTCATCTTTACAAAAAGAAGGCAAATTAAATGATGTAAGGTCAGTGTTCCCTGCCAATATCATCATCACTGTAGGTGATATGACCTTTTCATCATGCATGTGTTTGTGGAAATAACTAATATATGCTTCAGACTGTGGAAATTATGAACAGGATTACAATTTTCCTGCCCTTTGATACTGTGGAATGGTAAGACATCAGATCAGAGCTTACTGTGCAATCATGAAAAGTGCAGGTAATGAAATAGGCTTTTATGCATATGAGATGTGTGTATACAAATAGGGAGGCCCACATGAAAGCTAGTAGAACACTGGAAGATTATTTTGGCCCACACACTATAAAATTGTTAAACATTTTTATCTTACCTTGTTATGAAGGAGTATTTTAAGAGAAATAAGCATCTGTTCTATAGAGGAAAACTGAACATGGCTTTTATGTTGTGGTACATATAAAAGATTTTTTTTCTTTTGTGTCTGAGTGTTCAGAAACAAATCTATGAAGGAACCTTTTCTTGCCCCAGAAGGGCTCAATTAGGCAAGGGTACCTTAAAGAGGCCCTGTATTTTTAATTCTCTCAGTCTGACTTTACTCTCTGAAGCAGAGGAAAAGCCATGTGAAACAATGTGGCAGCAGCTCTATGGAAGGCAGGAAGTTGATGAAGTACAGAGCTTTCCTCGAGGGAGCTCAAGTACAGAGAGCCTAGGAACTGATGGAAGCATTGATTGTTACATATGTGTGAAAACCTCTCCTGCACTGACAACCTTTTTTGTGATTATTCATTCAAATTCCACTGTGGAAAAGAAATTGGAAAATCAGCACCCTCACAGTAAAGAATTTCTTGCTAAGATCTAATCTAAACCTTAGTTTAAGGCCATTCCCCCTTGTCCTGTCATTACATGCCCTTGTAAAATACCTCTGTTCCTCTTTTTTGTAGGCTCCCTTAGGTACTGGAAGGCCACAATTAGGTCACACCTCCACCTTCTCTTCCTGTAGCAAGTGTTTGATTACCTTGTTTCATCTCTTTTCTGTGCATGAAGTTCTTGTCAGAGGATTTACAAAGATTTCCCCTAAATCTTTGTTTTTAAAATATTTTACTTCTGTAAAAATCTTTCTGGGACTAGTGGCTTAAGAATTCAGAATTTT